CTCTGCAGCGAGGCCCAGACCAGTTAATAGAGCCAGAGTAAGGTGGAATTTTTAGCCCAAACCCTACCCTGCCAGAAAGGCCCTGCTGGGGGCATTTCTCCTACCTGTGACTGCACATTGGCTCCGACTTGGGACCCCTGGTAAGAATCCCCATTCAGACTCTGCATGTTCATGAACATGTCCCCAGAATTTGGGAGGTTAAAAGAACCAGAAGAACCTGGAAAGGAAAGAGTTAGGTAGCTGAATAACAGAGAGCTGCAAAAACATAACCCCGAGACCTGAGGGCAGGGGAAGGAGAAGCAGCAGGACAGGAGAGGACAGGCAAGGCTCAGTGGAGGGGAAGTTGCTGCCCTGGCGTGGGGTGAGCGTGGCCACTGGATCCCACAGCGGCCACCACATCCCAGCTCTCAGCCCCGCACCGGAGCGCTGTGCTGGGCAGGCCTGGAAGCTCCCTGCAACCCAGGACAGCTCTTCCCTCTGGAAGAGCAGCCTGTACAGCAGCGTTTCCATAGCAGAGCTGTCCCCCTGTGAATCACTCCATCATGAGGTGCCCTCACCAAACACACATTCTGAGCCCGTGCTTGTGTCTCCTTCCAAAGGAAATGCTTGGCAGTTCCCAATTATGTGGTTTATTACTGTTAAAGACAGAACCTTTTTCTTATTTGCTTTTAGTTAGTCTTTTTTTCCCCATGGTTCTCTATCCTCTTCAAAAGTTGTCCATAACTAAGTCACAGCAAAGCTTGACTGCAAATAGTGTTTGTGCTTGTGGCAACCTTTGCCCCTGGAGCCCAAAAGAGCAATGCCTCCCTCACACACTCCGTGACTAAGGCAGTGCTCAGACTTGCAAAATGTCATCAGCACACCGGTGAGACCTGTAGCAGAACATGTCACAGAGTAACTCCGAACTAAAGTTCCATCCTTAGATTTCTATTCATAACATCAACACCATTTCAGGCCATCCAGAGTTTAAACTCTAATTACAGCATGCTAAAATATTCCTCTATTTTGTTGTTATCTTGACAATAAACGTAACAGTCCTACAAAACCAGACTTGGACCTCTGCCCCATTTTACATTCTTCTCAGCGAATGAGTAAAACCCTGAAGTACCTACAGAAACAAAGAAGGTGCCAGAAGGCAGAGGCAGGCAGCCGTTACCGCTGCAGGAATTGCACGGCCCCACTCTGCTCTGCCACGCTGTGGGAGCTTGGCTGTGGAGCAGCTGGGAGCTCCCAGGGCAGGGCTCACCCTCGTGGTGCAGCCCGGCCACCCTCGGGCTCAGGAACAGCCCCTGTGCCAGGCCTGGCTCTGCTCTGCATCCTCCTCACCCCACCGAGCTCGCTGGGGCCCATCGGGGCCCTGCAGGAGGCTGCAAGGCAGCAGGCAGTACGTACCAGAATTTGGTGTGGTGGGGGAGTTGGTCTGGTTGTTCTGGACAGCCGCGGCCACGGCGTGCGCTGCAGTCACGGCCGTCTTTGCCGCGTAGAGATTGGCTTCCTCCTGGAACTTCCCAATGTTCTTCTTGTACCTGATTCTCTTATTGCCAAACCAATTGGACACCTGCAGTGGAGAGAGGTGGGCAGGGTGAAGGACACAAAGTGCTTGGCTAGGCAAAGCAGGATCCCTTTGAGATGTCAGAAACATGACCTGTACCTGCCCTGGGTAACTGAGCACTAACCCGGATCAGTTAAACGCCACCATGGAGCTGGGCTGACCTGGCTCTGCTGCTCTCTTGGCAAACTGAGGCACAGCAAGTGACCGATGACTGCACAATCCCAGAGCTTACTGTACCACGGCATTGTCCCCTACCACCACGGGCCATTTGTCAGCAAAACTGTGCAAGACCCAGAAAGCTGCTTGGGGGGACCAAGGTCCGATTGACTGAGGAGGAGCGGGCAGTGAGAGCAATTGTTCTTTATTTTTGGGCTGGAACAACCTTGGCAGCCCACTCACAGAATCGTGTTTGGTTGGCTGAAAATGAAAGGAATCATATAAATCAATAATGGTTGAAAAGTCACTTTGTCATGTCCCTTTGAAGATCTGTGCTGAAGCCAAGGTGGCTCCCAGGGCACCGGCTATTAACCCGCACAGGGGTCACGCCTGGAGCCGCTCAGGGAAGTTTGTACAATCTTGCTTAGGGGCTTTGTTTAACTTCAGCTGCTGTAACAGAGCTCCTAAATAACAAACCTAGTTTGGAACATGGACAATGGCCAACACAGCAGAGACAATAAAAGAGCAGCTCCAGCAGTAAAGGGGAAGGGACCAGTGACAGCCCGGTGGTTATCAGGCAGCCACAGGGCATGGCAGGGGCTGGGGCCCTGTCACAGCACCCAGTTCAGGATCCTGCTGAGGCAGGAGCCAAATCCTGCTCTATTTGATGTGGCACAGGCTTTTGTTTAACCACAATTAATGGAAAACCTCTGGCCTTTACCAGTAATATGGAAGGTACCTTATACATCCTGCTCCCCTGATAATACTCCACCATATTCTATATATTGCACTTAATATCACCTTGTCAGTCAGAGAAGCAATAATACATTAATGAAACCCAGCAAATAATTATTGTGTACAATCAGATTATGCTTTATTAACAGTATCATAATTGAGGAATCTCTGCACATCAACCGTATTGTCCACGGATGTGCACGAGACCCCTCTGTTTATGCACGCCCCTGGACCAATCAAACAACAGCCATCACTAATAAAGGTTTATTTAATTCTCACAGTAAAATTTTAATATCACCAGCAGCCTGGGGAAGCCTCAACGAGTGGATTTGCTTGACATCAGATCGTTTCCATTCTGCTAGTCCCAATACTTCTTAATCTTTAATATCAAGGCAATTAAAATTAATGGCCACTCATCCAGAGCCACTGTGGGCAGTGTTTCCTTGACATCAATTGTTTGATGGGATTACCTAGAGGTTAAACTAACAAGCAAGGTTTAATTGGAAGCAATGAGAGGAGCAGTGCTCGTACGTTATGTTTAACCCGCACACCACATCTAAATGAATATCCAGAAATGTTCAACTCTCCCTCAGACTGAGCCCGGCCTCGGGGCTGCCAGAGGAGCTGCAGCAGCCCGGGGTGCCACAGTCACTGCCCCATCCCCTCTGCCCAAGGACCCTTTGTGCTCCTGTGACACAGCACAGGGCAGAGCGTGCCCAGCCCGGGGAACGTGGGGACACCCAGGGGCACCCAGGGACACCCAGGGACATCCAGGGACACCCAGGGACATCCAGGCACACCTGGGGACACCCAAGGACACCCGGGGACACCCAGGGACACCCAGGGACACCCAGGGACACCCGGGGACTGCAGCTGCAGCTGGGAGAGCTGGCTGACATGGGCAGCTGGACCTGGCCAGGACACGGCACTGCCCCAGCAGGCTGTGCCAGGCAGGATTTAGGATCCCTGCCCACCTGGAGCACACCTCACCTGGCTTGTGCTGCCGTGGTCCCAGGGAAGACCTGGGTGCAGGTGCTGGGCTCCCCGGGACCCAGCTCCTCACCCAACCCCATGCTCACCCCAAACGTGGAAGTTGTCTCCATTGTGAGCTGCCTCACAACACATTTTTCATTAAAACGAACTATCTCTTCACATAAAAAAAACAATGAACATCTTTCTCCTCCTGATCATTGAAGGCCAATTAATTAATTGGGCTTAATTGTATATTACATTTCAAACAATACTGTTGCACTTATTTATCATGTTAATTGCAACGTTAAATAAAAAGACAATAAATTATTACTGAAATCATCAAGATGCCTAATGTGGGATTTGGGATGGGGCAGGCCTGCCTCGTGCCTCCAGAGTGGGTGATTTCCTGGGATAAATCAGTGCTCATTCGGCAACAGAGCATCACTGCTGGAACTGGGGAGCTGCAGATTCATGGAAATCTTTCCACTGTGTTTCCATGTTTGTAGCACACAGTCTATGTTCCACACCTAACACATGGTACAAACCAGGAAATGTTAAAAATCAATGTTGCACAATTACAACATTGATCTGTGATCTAAACTCAGGAGTATTTCATTATGCTGCAGCTTTTTTCCTTGCCTCCCACATGAAGTCTAGGGGTAAGAGCCCCTCCATCCACAGTTTTCCCTGTCCACCTGCTCACAGAAACACTCAGAAGCAGCAGGGACCAGAGGGGTGCTGGAAACCAGCTCCTGCATCCTTTCTTTAAAACAATGTTAAATATATTCCCTTGTCAACCACATCCTTCCTTTGTTTGAAGCGGTGAAAAATGTTATTGCTGTACCCCAGTGCCCGCTCTCAGCACTGGCTGTGCCCTCTCTCCAGCCCTGTGATGGACTGATGGTCGTTTGTGACACCCTGCAAGAGCTCATCTGCAAAAGTATAAAACATCAGCCTCGCAGCCACGGGAGGGGAGAACACACAATACACTTTATCTCCTCCAACGTGTGCTGATGGGGCAGCTCTGAATTACAGCCGACAATGTTCTCTGCTAAGGACATTTTTTTCCCCAGAATTACCTTTTCCGCACTCTTAAAAATGAAATTGTGTGAGGTGTTTATCTTAATAAATAGTTTGTCTTTATGCTTTTCTTGAAAAACCTTCTCTACATATTATTTTAAACACCGATATCAAAACTGAAACCATCGATCTCCCACCTGCAATGAAACGATTCTGAGAGACAATTTTCTTTGCAGCTCAGTAAAGTGCCATGGCAGCAGGATTTCCAGTCAGCAGCTTAATCTGAGGGGAGGATGACCCAAAACACTCACTAATTAAGTGTTTGAGGGAGAAAATGTTCTGCCATGAATCTGCCCCCAGCGTGTACAAGGCACTGACAGTACAAGAGAGAAACACTTGGGATCATCGTTAGGAGAGGCTACAGAGGAGCCTGGCTCAGCCAGGGAAAGGACAAAGCCTCTTCATCAGAGACGAGCCAACAGCTCCAGAGTTTGGAAAGCCATCCCTTAATGTTATTTATTCCTTTTTCCAGCTCTTTGGCCCTCCGGGGTATTTGCAGCACAGGAGGTAAATGGGGCATGGTGACAGGCACGGCAAGGTCCAAGGGACACTTGGTCAAGGCTGAAAATACACACACTCAGAGATGTTCCATGAGGCGCTGAGCGGGGTGCGGCTCGGGCACGTCCTGGGATGCCATTGCTCGTCCCCTGTGAGGCTGCTCCTGCCAGGGCTCCAGTGACTGCTCAATTCACTCCGAGCTCTGGATTGCAGCCTCTGAGTGCTGCTGTCAGCCACCACAGCGGTGTGGGGCTGCTCTGTAGTGCCTGCTCAGAGCTCCCCTACCACATGGCCTCAAAAGTATACACCCTTTTCAGTAAAAGAAATATACCTCCAGCCCAGTTCGACCTACAAAATACCAACTAAGCCTGCAGTGCTGCCATGCAGCCTCTGGAAGTGCCTCTGGAAATCAAAGATTAGAATACCCATGGTATTCATGCTCTCTAGCTGTGACAGCAGATCCATCAGGAACTCAAGCAACCAGCTGATCACAGGCACTCCCTCTCTCTCATACATGCTCCTCTCCCATACATGGTACGTGGCCCCGTTTCCAGGCTTTACCACATCAACACGAGTTTTTCCAAGTCATTATAACATTTTGCCAGAGTGTAACTCCAGCCATGCCAAGGGCCCAGCCCTGCATCCCTGGTGCCAGGCTGGGTGGGCAGCATTGCCCTCGGACCAGGCTGGCAATGTCACCCTGCAAGGCTGAGGCTGCTGGATGCAGTGCTGTGGAGGGCACAACGCAGCTACTCCCATCGCTCTCTCAGACTTCCTAATGGATTCAAGGAACAACTAATTCATGTCTGTATCAAATATTAAAAAGACAAACCTATATTCCTGTCACAGGCTCTCTGCCACTGCTGGGTTGCTGGACCATCTGCCTGCCTTTTATTTCATTCTACAGCATATACATTAAATCTTATCAAACAACCAATTAAGAAAGAAATCAGATCCATTAGCACTAGAAGCAATCAGTTATGGCTTCTCAAATGTTCCATCTCATTTCCTACAGTCACTTCAGCCTTGTCTTGATCTTTTTATCTGTCCACACCAAGGAATCACTGAGCCCCTTCCTGCCAGGCACAGTTCACCCCCGGGTGCAGAGGGAACAGCTCTTCAGCAGGTCTGCTGGGCTTTTTCACATGTCATCTTGCCCAAGTACATTAACCAAAACTGAGGAACTTTGGTTTGTTTAAGTTGGTGTTGATGGCATGGCCTCTCCTAACCATACAGCAGGCTGCCTTGGATCACATTGAGGATTTCTGGACACCACTCACTGAAGGAATTGCCACAATGCATCTCATGCCAAGGACTGGAACCAGCAGCAGGATTAAGGCTGCAGACCACAGTGCCCTGGCACTCGTGTGCTCTCAGGCTGTTTGGTGGTTCCAGGCACCCCAGCAGCTGCAGGGATGCCTGAGAGCACTGAGAGCAGCCCAGCAGCCACCACGGGGCTCCTGTGATGCCAAGGGCAAGGGAGGAGCAATGTGAGAGGGAACAAGCCGTGTGCTGAATTTCCCTCAAAAACTTCTGCCCATCACCACAGCTATTTGTAAATGGACTGAGAGAAACTGCCTCCCTCCCCACCCCACACCTTCCCCTGGCACCGAGCACAGCCCCTTGGCACCCCATTTGGAGTGGGGTATGTGCTGCATGCCAAGGAACAGGCGAGGGGACAGCAAGGCACACACACGTGCCCTGGGGCAGTTCTGCTGGGGGCAGCCAAAGCCAAGTAATTCCAAATTTGGAGGAGCTGGGCAGACTTTCATTTGAAAGTCTTCAATAAAGTGCTTGAATTTTTCATGCATTCAATGGAGGCCTACAAAGTAAATCTCAACTCAGGTCTTAATTATAAAGCTAAAGGTTGCGTTGCTAATAATGCCAATAGTGCAGCCTGCAATCATTAATAGTTAACACACACGCCGCAGGCACCATTCCTCTCAAGGAGCTGAAATATTGATAGGGGAGCCGAGGGAGCAGGGAGGAGCCAGCACACCAGCTCACCAGGAGAGGAGAACTTGGACACTGCAGGGCACTTCCCTGCCACACGCTCAGGTTCTCCCCCAAGCTGTGGGAGAATGATTGGGGATTCTAGCAAACATGCAGGCCACGTGGAGTGCCAAGAGGTGTTTTGCTCTTTGAGCTGCCTGGTGAAGGAAAACTCGGTGGTGTCACCAGCCTGAGCAGGACCCCAGTCTGAGCTGTGCAGGTATTTTGGCCCACAGGGAAAGCAGCTGCAGCCAATGACACCCTGTGGGGACAGGGGCCCTCCCTGCTGCTTACCTGTGATACCGTGATGCTGCACTTCTTTGCCAGCTCTTCTTTGGCTTCTTCACTGGGGTAGGGGTTACTGAGGTGGGAGTAAAAATACTCGTTCAAGATTTCTGTGGCTTGTTTACTGAAGTTGCGCCTTTTCCGTCTGAAATGAGAAAAGGAAAACACCACTGTTCCTCCAGATGCCAGCAGGTCCCTGGTTGGATGGGGAGCTCACAGGCTGTGCTGCAGCACGGAACAGCACAGCAGAGCTGTCCTGGCACCCTGATCCCTTTGGGCTCCCCAATAATGTGGGAAGGAGCAGCAGGCAGCAACACCACGTCCTGCACCCAGCCCCAGGGGCTCTGGACTCTGCCCCTGGCTTCACACCCCCACCTCCCTGCAGGGTTCATTCCACGGGAGCACAGGCCACGTTCACACGCTGTGGGAGAAAAGGTGAGGCAGGTGCTGAGGCAGCAGCCTCCCTTGTGGCTCCTCCACAGCTGGGTACACAGCCCAGCCCAAAGCTCCCAGCCACGGAGCCCTCTGTGCCAGCAGCAGCCTGGCAGACCTCCTTCCCTTCAGCACAGGTCGGCTGGGCCCCTGCACAGCTCCCTGGGGTCAGGATGGTACAAGAGGATGGGGCAGCCCTGGTGATGTGTCCTCACGTGGCCTCCCTGAGCTAACTGGCTTCCAACAGCAAGTGGATTTCAGGGCTTTGTGAGCGAGACCCATCTGTGCCCCCTCCTGCCACGGGCTGCACGGGGCCCGGGCTCTGACCCACATGGGACATGGGACAGGCCCAGGGGTGTCACCTGGCTGAGCCTTGCAGGGAGCACCTGCACAGGAGCCTGCAGCCCCGGCCATGGGGTGTCACCTGGCTGGAGCCTTGCAGAGAGCACCTGCCCATGCTCTGCACAGGAGCCTGCAGCCCCGGCCATGGCGCAGCCCTCGCCATGGGGCAGCCCACGGCGGCAGTGCCCGCACAGCTGCAGTGCCATCCCTCCGTGCCAGCAGCCGCTCTCCTGCAGCAGAACATGCTGTGGAAGGCTCCAGTTGAGCATTTCCTCGGAGCTCCTTCCCCAGGGCTGCTGCAATCAGCGGCGGCGCCCCAGGCCACCGGCAGCCGAGCGCAATCCCCAGCGCGCTCCCGGTATCGCGGTGCTGCTAACTGCGCTGGATCCTGGAGCAGGCAGGCTCCCTCCCTAGAGCTCTGTTTATCTCATTACTATGCTTCCGCTCATTTTGCCTTATTTACCTTCCTCCTTTTTAAAGAAATCACTTTAAAATGTACATCTGCAGGCTCTACCTTTGCGTTCCTGGAGCTCTCCATAGACATCTCCTCCAACTGCCTGCAATTACCCTGATTTCCCACACCTGCCAGTGACCTCCTTGTTAATAACATTATTTTGGTCTTGTTTAGCTCCTCACAGCTTTCAGGTGTGAAGTGTGAGCTGCTGGAGGAGGGAGGCTCCGTGTGGCGCCTGCTGCTCCTCCCTTTCCCGCTCCTGCTCTGCCAGGCCCTGCTCTGAGGACAGGAGCCCCGTGAAGGGGATGGGGCTGGGGATCACTATCCCACCTCATCAGGCTTCAAAACAATTCTGACTGTGCCTAAACCCCCTTCCTAATCCCTGTCTGCCTGCCTCCTGGCAGCTTGTGGAGCAAGCAGCCCACTCAGGCCGCCGTGGGTCCTGGGGACAGGCACCAAGCTCCAACGGTGGTGCAGGTGTCCAGGGTGGGGAAAACAAGCCCAGTATTTGCACTAAAATTTGAAGAAAAGACCTTGTTGCTTCTGAAGTCCTCCTGTGCAGGGGTCCCTTGCACAGCAGCTGTGGCTGAAGGCTCCTGGTGGGACAGAGCAGCCTCTCGCACCCATCCCTGCTGGCATGGGACACCACTCCCAGTATGGCCATTCTCCTGGGCTGCCCAGAAATTACTGCTTCCCCCCAAAAGAGACAGGGCCACTTGCCTCTGCCTTACCTGGCATCAAGGAACCTTGATCTTAAAATCATTACTGCTTCACAAGTGCTCTGTTTGAGCTGCATCTGGATGGAGCTGAATTTTCGATGAATGATGCCCACCATCCTCTCAATCTCCTTGGGAGAAATGGGACGTGTCCGGCTCTGTTCTCTGAGGAGGTTCATGACATGAGTGGTAAATTCATTACACGCCTGTGGAGGAAGAAGAGGCTCAGATGTGGGTTTGTGCTGCCCCACACGGACACAAGCTCTGACCTGGCTGTCGGGGGAAGGCAGCACCGAGGGGGACCCCTCCCATGGCCCTGTCCCCTCCACATGCGTGGCCACAGGATCCCACCTGCCCAGAGTCCCTGCAGCCGTCCTGGGGCCGCCAGGGGAGCCCAGCGGCACAGCCCTGCTCCTGCCATGCTCATCCTTTCCCCTTTGCCAGCCAGACCCCCGTGCAGAGGAGCAGTGGGATCAGCGCCTGTGGCAGCTGCAGGCAGGGGCAGGGTGTGAGTGGGGACCTGCGCTCCTCACAGCCAGGGGGAACACCCCGAGCCCTGTGCCTGGGTACCCCCTGCAGCACCCAGGCACCTGAGACCTTTCTGAGGCACCATGGCCCCGCGTTGGGTGGGTTTCAGTGGCACTGTGCCCACTGTGCCCACGCTGTGCAGCCGAGGCACTGAGGGCAGGCACAGGGAGCCCTCAATTACCACCCCCAGTCTGTGACGTGGTGATAAAAACTTCAGACTGAGCCACCACCAGGATGCCCCTGGTCCGAGCCTCCACACATGCTGCTGTCCTGACTTCCCTTTGCAGGCTGGAACCTGACAGAAACTCTGCTAGCTCCCCTCTTCCCTGTCAAGCAGGCAGCAAAATATGTACGTAATATGTCTGACAACCACATTTTCAAGGATTCTCCAACATTTCAACAGATTATGCAATGGAAGGAGTTAAAAGTGAAAAGTTTATGCATCTAAAAACTCATAATTTCCTATAACATTTGCTGAACGTCTCACAACTTATTAAGTGAAGCCATCTATGAATGCAAATGCTGATTAGCAATTTGGCAATAGCCCAACATTCGCAGAATTCACATAGCTTTTCTTTAAACCAGTAGTTCATACATGATTAATTAGAACATCTCATTTATGTAGTGTGCACTTTAGCTCATTACTCTAAGTAAAATTCGTTAAGTATTTACATTTAGATAATTAAAATCTGGGTACACCCTTAAGAAAGATGCATACACTTCAGGCAAAGTGATTTTTTTTCTTTACACTACTGAAAGTAAATTACAGGCTAATTTACATCCGTGCAGCACCCGTTGGAGGCGGCCCTGGTGCAGAGCCCTCTGCTCGCCACCGCTGAGGCGCTGCTGCTGCCAACCCCTGCCAGGGCTGTGCCAGGGCTCCAGGGTTGGACATTGCCCACCCTCACTGCCCACCAGCCCCTGCCAGCCCGGCTGTGCCAGGGCTCCCCGGGCTCCAGGGGAAGGGTTGGACATGGCTCACCCTCACTGCCCATCAGCACGTTCTTTCTTTCACCACGGGACACCCCGAGCATGCACAAGTTCAGGCCCAGCCCTCTGACCGATGACACCAGCTTTGGCTCACTCAGGAAATGTTGCACAGAAGGGAAGGGGACACGGGCACCAGAATGCAGCAGCTCTCCCCCTGAGATCAGGCAGCAGCTCTGACTGTTCCAAAATACTGCTGGACCCAAGAATTTGGCACTGGATGGGTGTTCCAGGCACACAGTTTGCCACAAGCCCCCTTCTTTTCAGATCCCAGAAATTCCATTTTAAAGTACAATAAAATTGGCAACTGTTGCATTAGAAATATTTTCAGGTATGTCTTTTCTATAAGAGATTTCATCTCAAAAACTGGACTTTGAAAAGCAATAATTAGTGTCTTGCTTTCAAGAAGCAAAAACCTTTCTCTGACTTTACTCAGCTTGCCTGATGAGACTTGGTTTGGCTACAACTGCTGGGAGAGCCTGGGTTTAATTCATCTCCACCAGCACCTCCCCTATGCAGAGCTGCCTCACACAGCACAGTGGGAGGAAGCTCAGAAGACTCTGATGCTTTGTCTTGTTTCTCTTGTTTATTTATAGCGTCCAAGCTACTTGATCCCTTTTCCAGGACTATTTTTCAGGCCTCTGCTTGGTGCCTGAGACATTATTAATAATGTCAGGTTATAAGTGATGGCCTTGTTAACCTGCTCAGAAACCTTGTAGGAGCAGGGATGCTCCTACTGCCTCAGTGCTTCATCACGAGTGCGCAGGAAAAAGAGAGGAAATGGCCCAAAACAATGCAGAGGGGCAGGGTGGCAGCCAGTGCTCTGCGAGGCTGGTGGTGGCTTCTGAGCTGCCACACCTCGCCCCAATTCAGGGTGAATTCAGGAGACATCTGTGAACTTGGGAAGTGGGTTCCCAGCTGCTCCAGTAGGCCTGGGACCCTTACAGTACTTTTGCCTACAGCAAAAAATGTATTTCAGTGTAATTACAGCAGATAGCTTTCAATATGTCATCTCTGTTATAGGAGCTGTAAATTATGGAAGGCGCTGCCTGTGCGTGGCCATTTCTCCCGGCGCCCGGCAAGGCAGCGCTGGGTGATGGCGTGACATACTTTCCATTTCTCTTTCCCTTTTTTTTTTATTCCTGAGTGCATTCCCCTGACTGGCAACAAATATCAGGATCAAACCCTGCCTGGAAACGTCTCCAGGAAGGCGCTCTGGTTCCTGCTGCCGTGGGACGGGGCTGCCCGTGCGGGCAGGATGGCAGGAGCGGCTCTGCACCGCGGGCAGGTGCCCAGCACGGGCTCCCCGCTGCAGGAGCTCCTGCCTCCCAGAACCTGTGGCGCCAGAGGCTCAGATGCCAAGCCCTGGCTGCCTCTCGGGCACTGCAGTGAGACGAACCAGCAGGAGACAGTTTGCTGCCAGGCTGGGGAAATCATCATATGTCTGTTGAGCAGACGTGGCTGGGTGTCAGGATCCGTGGGGAAGCATGCATGTCTCATCCTCTGCTCTACCTCTCTCTCCTGCTCCAGCAGCATTTGAGCATCCTCCAAAATTTCCTGTGGTGTGGACGGATGGCTGTGACATTTCAGCTGAAACCTTTGTAAATGGAGCTACAGGGCAAAAAACGCTCCTGCTTCCCCCACGTCATTAAACTTATTAGAGTCCAAGGATGTTTGCCAGGAAGCGGCTGCGAGCATGGAGCTGCTGCCTCTGTGGCCCAGATCTGCCTGCAGCCTGCGCGCTGTGCCTGTGGGAGACAGGTTCATGCCACAGCCACCCCATCCCACACTACAGCTGCACCTGGCAGGGCGAGGAGGGCTCGGGGCTCCACCAGGACTGCTGGGCCTTGGGGTCAGGGGAGAACAGCAGATTCGTACACAGACCCTGACAGGTGCTTGCTCAGTTATTTGTTCTCCACTTGAACGACACAGTGGAAAAGACAGCACAGACAAGGCAGTGCCACTGGCACCTGAGACACACGGTGCTGCTGGCACCTGGCAGCACGTGGCAAACGTTCTCAGTGCCACGGGCGTGCCCAATGTGTTGGGTCACCAGGTCCCAGTGGTGAACACAAACCCACAGGTCTCTGCAGCTTGCTCTTCACTCCAAACAAAGACACTGTGCTGGCATCTGCCTGAACCAGGATTTCCCCAGTTTCTGTCCCCAAGCCTGGGCCAGGTGCTCTGCTGATGCCTCAATGCCCACTCTCTTCAGACCTGCTCCAGCTGACCTGCTGTGGCCAAGTCTGCGCCAGAGTATCCTGCCACCTGCTCCAGCAGCCTGTGGGCTGAGATGGCCAAAGCAGCCCCTGTCTGCCTGTGCCCCCCAGCTTGCCAGACCCAGCTGTGTGAGGGCAGAGGGTGGCACTGAGCGACAGACATCTCTCCTCCTCTCTGCCTTCTGTGGGCTGGGCAAAGGGGGGAAACACGGGCTTGGGCGCTGCTCTTGTGCAGTTGCAGACAACAGAAAACACTCAGACATGCAAGACATGCGTCCTGGCTCCGGCCAGCAGCTCCTTGGAGCCCGACAGACAACAGACTGCCACGGTGGCTCTCTCTGGGCAGAGGGGTGGGGAAGGGGAGGAAGGGTTGTGGTCCAGAGTGGGCAGCGGTGGGCACTGTCAAGCAGAGGAGAGCAGTGTCAGGTACACGAACAACTGAGAGACTGATGTCTGACCTGTTCATATTTCTCCAGCTCTGTGTGATAGATTTGTCTGATCTGGGTCAATTTGGCTCTGTAATCTGAGTGCTCAATAGAGTTATCTGAAGACCCTCCAGAGGCTGCTGCGGCTGCAGCTGCTGCCGCCGATCCCCCACCTTTCTCCGGACCTGAGACTCCTTCTGCCAGAAGCATATTGTCTAGTCTCATTAGCTGAGGATCGGGAGGGTCTTCCTCCTGGGCTCCTCGGATGCTCAAACCTTGGGCAGAAAAGAGAGAACAAGAGAAAACACAGTCAGTACTTCTGCATGTGCCCGCCTGCCACGAGCCCTCTGCCCCAGCCCTGCCCCAGCACCCCACGGGCACAGCCCTGCCCCAGCCCTGCCCCAGCCCTGCCCCAGCACCCCACGGGCACAGCCCTGCCCCAGCCCTGCCCCAGCCCTGCCCCAGCACCCCACGGGCACAGCCCTGCCCCAGCCCTGCCCCAGCCCTGCCCCAGCACACCAGCCAGCCCCATAAGATGCAGTCTGGCAGTGCCACAGGACCCTCTCTGCTCCCACACACAGCAGGAACAGTACCGGTGTGGGCTGTGCCACATGTGCCAGCAGCACACAGCTGCCAGGCATGGACCTGGGCACCAGCAGTGTGCTCCATGCACTCAGGGGACAGCACAGGATTCCACACTGACTGTCTCAAGGTGGACACACAGTGGGAGATGAACCCCCCACTGGCCAACTTTCCAACTCAACAAAGCACAAGGCATTAATCTTGCTCTAAAATACACATTTTAAACCTGTCACCTTCATTTAAAACTATAATTCCATATAATTTCATGGGAATAATAAAAATGTCTCATCATCATCTCTTTAAATGATTTCTGTTGCCTGTTCAGAGGTCCACAGGCACAAGCTGATGATACCACACATTGTCCTGGCGTGTCCCTGAGCTGGCACACACGTGTTGGGGACAGCCCAGGCCACCCATGCTGCAGCCAGGGAAGGTGGTGCCGCACCTGGGAGTGCCTGCAGCAGCAGGGCAGGTGGTGCCTGGCCAAGGGAGTGCTGCACCCACCCCTCATTCCCTCGTCTGCCCGGGCACAGCTCCTGGCCCGCAGTGCTGTAACACGGGGGTGATTTCCTTGGTGAGTTGTTCCCCTGTTTGTCACTCTCCTCCTCTGCTCTGCTGTCAGATTGTTCAATAACATCCTGGTTTTAATCCACTCAAGCTTTCCTTCCCTTCTCATCAATGATTTCTGCTGTTGTTTTTCCTTTTAGCTTCTGGACCCTTTCTCAGTCCGTGTTTACTGTGCTCTGTTCCAGCTGTTACTCCTCAGCTGCATTTCTGCTTTCACTATAGAACCCATCTCCCTCCCGCTATCCCATCACAGTCCCACTCTGCTCCCAAATGCAGATGCCTAGCAAATCCTGCAGCAAAATAATTTGGTACAATTGCAGTGATTTCTGCATCATGTACTTCCATCAGCAGGCCAAAGCGAGGGCTTTGTCCACCCAGGCTCAAAGCAATATTGCAAAGCCCCAGCCCCTGTCCCCGAACCTGACTCAGCGAGCGAGCAGCCCCAAGGTGTAGCAGCAGGAGCTGAGGCTGCACTGAG